CAGACAGGAAGTGAACACAGACATTACACTCTGACACACAGGGAGTGTAGACACTAGGAAGTGAACACAGGAAGTTCAGACAGGAAGTGAACACAGACATGCTCTGACACATAGGAAGTGAACACACACACAGGAAATGCAGACAGGAAATGGACACAGACATCATGCTCTGACACACAGGAAGTGAACACACATAGACATCATGCTCCAACACATAACATCACCCTCCAGGCTTCACACTGGCAGCACACACAGGAAATGAACGGGACATCACACTCTGACACCAGGCGTGGGGACATGGGCAAGGCTCACTGTGGCGCTTCCGCGTGCTGGCTTTGCCCTCCTCCTTGGTGGCGCCCAGGCAGCCCGTCAGCTCCTGCACAGAGATGGCCTTGTTGTTATTCACGTCACAGTACTCCACAAACTTCTTCACACACTTTTTGGGCTTGGATTTTTTCCGAAGGAATCTCTTGAAGGGTTTGATTTCCTTCTTGCCAATGTCCCCGCTGGAGTTCTTATCGAGCAGCTTGAAGTACCAGTGCACCACCCGCTCCTCCAGGGTGTGGCTGGGGTCTGGTTCTGAGAGTCTGGAAGGAAGACAACCTGTCAGGATGCAGAAGCTCCTACTGTCTCCACCTAGCCCTCCAGTGTCCCCCTCTGTGGGTACTCACATCAGAGACCGATGGACAAGACTGAGGAAAAGCTAACCAGCAAATTCTCCAAGTTGGCTTGGAGTCACAGAGGCCACAGTGATCGTGTGCACGTCAGGCCTGCACCTGGCCTTGTACTTGGGGAGAAAAGCTCCAGTCCTGGGCCTGGGCACCTTGACGGCGGGTAGGAACAGCCACCAGCACCCTCCTAGGTCCTCTGGGCCCCTCAATGTGATCATTTTGAATCATATAAAGCCACACACATACATATAACAGGTGTATTGAAAGATCCAAATCAAAGCTTTTTAAGGCTACAACTATGCCGCAGTCTGGCTGGGCACAAATCACGAGCCACCGAAGCAGGAACAAACTTTATTTCTGAACTCCACCAGCACGCTCCACACACGCTCCCCGGGAACTCTCTCGAAACCCACGCGGCTTGTCCAGGAACCAGCCAATGGAAATATCTCTTCCGGAAATCCCTCCTCCTGCACTTCCCCAACCAATGGGAACTCTCCGGGAATCCCCAGGAATCCCCACAAGAACTCCAAAGTCGTGGCCGAGGCAGATAGTAATGCCTTGCCTGTCAACCAATACTATTGGCAAAATGCCAGGGGCCATTTCGACTCAGCTGTGGCTCTCAGCACAACTAGACAATTTCCCTTGGATTAAAAAGCAGTTTGCTATTTTAAGGAACAAATAGGTAAAAGCTGCCTTGGAAGCCTGGCTTCGAGTCAGACCTGTAGGCTGCACCTGCTCACAAGGGAGGAGGTTGTGCGTACCCCACGGGCCCTCCCACAGGCTCTGCATGCCACCCTGCCTGGGTGTGCTGAGCTTTGCCCCTGAGTGTGAACAGTGGGCAATCTGGCTGGCTGACACTGTTGACCAGTTTCCCAACTGTCAGAGGAGCTTCTCGGAGAGCAAGTCACCCATGGCCTTCAGCTGCAGCTCCCACGAGAGAACCCTTCCTACAAGAGCAAGAGGTGTAAAGCTGCAATCTTGGTGACGTTTTGCTTAATTAAATTCAATTTTCTACCCAGTCATGACCTTTTCCATTAGCACTGCCTTCCCCCTGAGTTGTCTGTAGCAGAGAGAAAATGAAGGTCCTTTTGCTGAGAGACCAAAAGCTTACATCACCCGGGATGGATGAGAAAATTGAGGGCTTGGGGACAGGGGGGAGAAGACCGACACTCCATGGAAATAAAATGTTAGACTCTCCACTGGAAACATTTCCTTAAAATGCACAAATATGTATTGCTAGTTGTCAGGAAGAATACAGAATGCTTGGGTTGCCGTGGCAACGGCCCACGGGGAGTTTCCATCCTCCTGTGTCATCCGTGGGGTACAGAAAGGCACTTGTTCCCACAGGGAACAGGGAGGCAATGCGGCTCAGCTCCAGGCAAGTGTGCAGCATACCAAGGGGACCCTTTGGGGTCAGAGAGGAGTGACCGTATATGCTGCCCCTCAACCACACCTGGAAACTGGGAAGGTGGAGAGTTTCATGAGCTGCATGTTCTACAATAAGTAAACCACATTTTGAGAGTTTTAAGTGAAACATTTCATTCCAAGGATTTAAAGCCTAATATATAACTGTAAAATGGGGTCTCATGACAGAGGGCATTCAGAAGTGCTCTCCTATCCCTGGCCCTCCTCACCACAGGGACCCTTGGAAATGCAGGGCCAGTCTCTTCCCCTGTGGTGCACAGAGAAACCTGCCGAGCAGCCTCCTGGCCTTGGAGGGCTCTTCCTTCAGGCCCGAGTACTTCCCGGTGTCCCACCCTTAGGATCTGCTCTTCCTTGAACTTCCAGGGCTTCTGCGGGAAGCACAGCATACCTGCCCGATGGGGAGGAGGGGTCAGAGACAGCATGGACCATGTCTGTGGACAGTGCATCCAAGACGCTTGTCAAAAATTCATGTTTTTTGGCACCAGGACAACCTGAAAAATAAAGGCACATTACAAAACTCACAAAGGCTAACAGGTTTTTCTCTACAATGGAAAGAAATGGCTCAGTGCTTAGAAAGTCTAATGTTGGGCTACTTTAATGTTAATGAGCTAATTTAACACTTATAGGCACTTTGAAATATGCAGCTTTTGATTTTGAATCAGATATTATTGATTGCAATACTTGACATTTACTGAATTACATGAGACTAAGAGCCATACAGTATTTCACTGATGGACGCAGCAGTCCACAGCTTGCTGTCCCGTCTTACACAAGGCAAGCCAGGCTCGACACGGTCAGGACGCACACCAAGCTCTCCAGGTACTGGAGCTCTAACCCAGGAGGCTTCTTGGCACTGTCCACTCTGCAGCCTCAGCTCTGTGGCCAGCCGCAGGGGGCAGGAGAAGCTCTGCAGCTTCTGCCGGGAGCAGACCTGCACATGGACACCAGTGGGACAGGAGTTAGCACTAGCAAACCCCAGAGCTGACCTCACATAGGTTCCCAGGGTCCAGGAGTAATCCAGCAGTTCCATTTATCTACAGATCACTGTTCACAATGTATTTTACACACAAGTGCCATGTAAGGACCCGTCTGTTGCTCACCCCTGTGGAATTCCCTACACCTCTCTCTGTCCTGCCATGTCAGAGACCTTCTCCCCACCCTGAGTTCAGGACCAAGAGACAGCCACCCACTTTGGGGTCTTTCCCTCCAGCGAGTTCCTCCCGACGTCCTGTTACCAAAGCCTGCGACTGGGAGGCACCATCATGGAGCCCCTCCGCCTAACCACGCTGGACAGCCCGAGCAGCCCTCACTGGGCACACCCTCCCCACAGAGAGAAGAGCCAGCAAGGCTCGCTGCTAGACAGCCCAGGAGAAGAGACTGAAGAGGGCAATGCCAGGCAGAGTGCAGGGGAATGGTGTCCGTGCCCCTCGACAAGCTGGAAGGCCAATGATCACATCCACATTGGAGAGACAGAAGCAGAGATGTAGAGGGAGTGAGGCCAGGCTTGACTCCATGGGGGGTGACTAAAGGGACACGGGAGACGGTCTCCCTGGGGAGGGGACGGGTGCTGCGTCCAGCAGCCAGCACACGTTGGGTTCTCCTCACACACAGAGCCAGGCTGCCCCTGCCAACAACGGCCCAGGACCCCGCTGCTCCAGACCCCATCCTGGCAGGGAGGGGTGGCCCTGAGCAGTGAGCAGTCTCCTCATGCGGTGAGACCAGATGCAGGGAGAGGCCCTGTGAGTAGCCTGGACACTGCATGGACAGCAGGAGCCACAGGCACCCAGGCGCTGGTTCTGAGGCACACTGGGCTTCTCCAGCTGCTGTCAGGAAGCAAGGAGTCTAGACCACAGGGACAGAGAACACAGGCAGTGACCTGTAGACACGAGGGACCTCTCAAGATGTCCAGGGCCCTATGAGTCACAGACAGGAGTTTGGACTCACCTGAGGAAAGCAGGGGCCTTGGAAGATGTGGACACAGTCTGATGTGGTCCCTGCAGATGTCATGGTGCCCTCTGCAGACCACAGATTATGGAGGACCAGAGGAGTCCATCTGAGCCACTGCAGGGTCCTGGAGGACCAAGAAGGGTCCTGGGAACCTGGCTCAGGATAAACCAGGCAGCGGGAAGCTGGGCTCTGGGATTGGGAGGGCCGGGGTCTAAGGGCCTCCTGAACCAAGTTCAGAGCCATTCCTAGCTCTGACCCAATCTCCAGATCACTCTAGTAAGCAGCTCACGACCCGAACTCCTGTGGCCACAGAGGAGTGAGAAGATGTGTCCTGAGCACCCCACTTCCCCCAGGGAGCACCGGAGGGCTTTCATACGGTTCTGCCTTCCTTCCTAACGTTCTATGTGGGCTTAGCCATGGAGGAGAGCTGAACAGGGGGGAGGTTTCTTCTGGAACTTGGACTTTAAGACCCTAAATCTCTGCAGCCTTTACCAGGTGCATGAAGTGTTTCCTAGCAAGTCTCCCTGCAAACCAGACCCTGGCCAGTGTGTCCACCTTTGGGCCATGGCTTGGAATTCAGAGGCCCCGTGCAGGGCAGCACATCTCTCCCCAAGCACCTTCTCGGCATTTTGAGACAGATGCACTGCACATGACCACCTGGGAGGTAAACTGCTCCAGGGAGCCTCCGCGAGAAGCCTCAGCTGGGACTCTCCAGGTCACAAGGGTGTGAAGGACCCTCCCTCAAAGGCATGCTCAGGAGAAGCAGGGCATCCATGCCGGGCGGGAGGAGGTGCCGCCGTGTGCCTGTGCTCCACACCTCTCCTGCTGCTCCTCTGCACACAGACGTCTATTTCCAGGTTTCAGTCCCCACTACTCCAACTATGCATCCCCGGCTTGCAGGGTCCCCCCAAGAGCTCCTACCTGGGGCACACTGGAGCAGCCACAGGCTGCAGGGCCCATGAGGGCCCCAGGGAAGATACGACAAGAAAGGGTATCACCCCTAAAGAAAGCAGGGACAGTGAGCCCCATGTCCCCAAACACCTCCTTCTGTTCCCAAAGACCACACTGAGCGAGGGGGGCACGGAGAGCAGGCCTAGTGCACAACGTCTCGAGGGACACTGCTCTCCTGTGCTCTCTGGGAGCCCGGGCCAGTCCTGCTACTGGCAAAGCTACCCTCCTGCATGGTGGCCAGGGCAGTTGCTCCTGGTCAGACGAGCACACAATGACGTCGTCGCTGCTCCTGCAGCCCAACATGTAAACCCTCTCTCAGGGAGCAGTGCACTGGGCTGGGGCCCTGCGGAGAGGACCATGGCATCTGCTCAGCTGGCCACCATGGAGAGGAGGCACTGCTTGGCAGAGCACTGTGAGGGACAGGGAGCTGGCCACCAGCCCGTCTCCACTGATCCCTCCTTGCAGCAGTCCTGGTCTCCCGCCAGCCCTGCCCAGCAAGCCCCACCCCCACGCTGTCTCTGGCACTTTATTTGGCCCCTCAGCAGCCTGCTGCACGGGCCTGGCACACGTGGCTGGTGGCTGAGGTTTGGCACACCTGGCTGAGGGCCTGGCACACCTGACTGAGGTGTGGCACACCTGGCTGAGGGCATTGCACACCTGGCTAAGGGCGTTGCACACTCAGCTGGGGTGTGACACATCTGACTGTGGTGTGGCACACCTGGGCTAAGGGCCTGGCACACCTGGCTGAGGGTATTGCACACCTGGATGAGGGTGTGGCACACTTGGCTGGGGTGTGGCACACCTAGGCTGAGGGTGTGGCACACCTGGGCTGAGGGCCTAACACATCTGGGCTAAGGGCATTTCACACCTGGTTGAGGGTGTGGCACACCTGGATAAGGAGTGGCACATGTGAGTTAGGACGTGGCACACCTGGGCACCTGGCTGAGGCACTGCATACTGGGGCTGAGGTGTGGCACACCTGGCTGAGGGTGGGGCAGAATTGCAGACTTGGGGGTGGGGTCTCTTGCTCTACTCTGGCAGAGCCCCTGGACGTGAGGAACACCCAGAGCTGCCCTGCCTCTGAGCCCAGGGGCTGTGCTGGGCAACACCCCTGGGTGCTTCTCTGGCATCTCAGCCTCCCTTACTTAGGAGGGGGCCAGTGTGGCCGTCATGAGACAGTGACAGTGCACAGGCCGTCAGGTCCAGGAGGACACCTCGATAGTAAGGCTGAAGACATCCGCAGACCTAATGACGACAGACGGAGCCAGTGGATTGGGTGTCCACGTTGTGGGCAGCGTGGCCGCAGATCCCTCGCTCCCCACCCGCCCCATCCTGGGTGAACTTTGTCCTTAGCTCCTGTGGCCACAGTAAAGGCCTGTGAGGAAGCACCTCGGCTTTCAGAGCGGCCCCTGTGCCGGAGCCTGGGTTCTCCCAGACCTGCCCACTTCCAGCAGCCCAGGCCCCAACCGCACGTCCTCTCAGTCTCTTCAGTTGGAAGGGCATGGTGGCTCGGCCCAGGCCAGTCCTGGTGGAGGTCCCTTACCTGACCTTCTCAGCCCTACGCCCCTGATGACCACCAGCCCTGCTCTGCCAGCCTGCCCCGAAGGCCTTGCTGCAGGACTGGGCCTCCTGCCGAGCCTGGCCTACGCTCTGGCCACCACTGTCCTCGCAGGCGGCAGAGCCCCTTACGGCAACGCAGAGAAATTGCTGGAACAGTGTCCTCAGTGAACACAAGGGCAGGGCTGCTCATAGCCAGCATGGTGACACGCCCTGGCCTTAGAGCCCTGGCCTCAGAGCCCTGACCTTACAGCCCTGACCTTACAGCCCTGACCTTACAGCCCCAACCTTAGAGCCCTGACCTTAGAGTCCTGGCCTTACAGCCCTGACCTCAGAGCCCTGACCTTACAGCCCTGACCTCAGAGCCCTGACCTTATATCCCTGGCCTTAGAGCCCTGACCTTACATCCCCGACCTTAGAGCCCTGACCTTAGAATCCTGGCCTTAGAGCCCTGACCTCAAAGGCCTGACCTTACACCCCTGACCTTACACCCCTGACCTTACATCCCTGGCCTTGGAGCCCCAACCTTAGAGCCCTGACCTTACAGCCCTGACCTCAAAGGCCTGACCTTACACCCCTGACCTTACAGCCCTGACCTCAGAGGCCTGACCTTACACCCCTGACCTTACAGCCCTGATCTCAGAGCTCACTGAGCTCACACCAGGAAGCAGGGTCTCGGCATGAAGCCCAGCATGGAGACCCTACTTAACCTGGTCAAAAAACTTCTTAGTCTTGCCATTCAAAGACAGCAATCCCTTTCTCAGGACTGAGGCCTGTGACCAGTGATCATCTGCAGGGTCGGTGGACACAGGGGTCCCACGCCTCATCAGTGCAGTTCTTCTTGGCCAAGGCGGCCGTGTTGGCGTGTGGTTAGCTACATGCAGTGCGTTGTCATGAACTAGTGCACCGAGGCTTCTGAGCCTGGGGACAGCTGCCGCAGAGCTGCTGCAGAGGGCATCTGCCCACCATCCTGCCACTCTATGACCTCTGTCCAGCAGGCCGTGCCCCAAAACGCACGGCATGGGAAGGGGTGGCT